TATCCGTGAAAAAAATTTGGGGGTAAAACCCACTGGGTATGAAAAACCAAACCCAACCCAACCTGTTGGGTATCCGCGGGTTCATGGGTACCCATGGGTTTTTGTCGTAAAAAATTTACAATAACAAGTTCCTATCAAAATTAAAGTCAAATATCAATCTCTCAATACAAATTATCCATATATAAAACACCATTCTATAAAATTCAAGCAAATCACAAATTAACTATACAAATTGTTCAACACCAATCTAGAAAACTCAAGAAAATTGAAGCAAATCACAAATTATCCATAAATAACATGATTAATTGAAAGCTTCTTCCTTTCAATTAAATTTCTTCACTCTCCACTCGATAACATCAACTTCATTCTACAGAATTGGAAAGAAAAAATGAAACATGTCTCCACAAACATAAATAAGATTAGTTGTTTAGAATATTAAATATACCTAGAAAATTAATTATATGGGTGTGGGTGGTTACCCATGGGGCGGGTTTACCTAAACCCAAACCCAACCCAACTCGATGAATAGTAAACGGGTAAACCCAAACCCGGACCAAAACCCGTCAACGCGAATTTTACCCGCGTTGACCGGGTTGGGTCGGGTGGGTACCCGTGGGTTCGGGTTTTGTTGTCATCCCTACTTCTTACCGATTTCTTTCATATCCCTTTTGTTTCAATCTTCCTCTCGTTGATGTACCCATCTGGTCATACATGGTTCAAAAAGGGTTGAATGGATCTCGATTGAGTAAAAAAAAATTAGATTCCTACCATACCCGGTAGTGTTTCCCTACCTCATGTTTGGTCCTGATGGCTCACCTGAGAGTTGCTCTCACGGGTCGTCATGTCTCCTTCTCTTTTTTCAATCAAAATCTCTAATCCCTAACATGCCGAGAAGATCGATTAGTCGCAAGAAATGTACCGAAGCATAATCGTAGAAATGTACCTCGAGTCTTGCTAATTAGAGTCACGCAGTCCACAAATCCGTCCACAAATCCTCAAGAATTGCTCGATGACAACGGATTAAAAGGGAAAACAAAGTAAGAATGATGGAGTTGGAAGGTTCAACTTCAACACCAGTTCTCGAGAAGAGGCTCGATCCAAATAAAGTCGCAACTAGTCCACGATTGAGGTGGTGACTCAATCAATACTAAGATTGCTCGTCACTCGAATTAATTTACGCAACAAGGTCAATTCAAGAGCACAAAAACTCCATGAAAAAAAGGTTCTTTCGATTAAACTTGAATCAATACAATGTGAGCCTCTAAGCTTAAATAGACAAACTAAAACCTAATTCAACTACAAATAGAACAAGGAAAATGTAAGTAAACTAAACTACAATTAAGGTAAGAATCCAATATGGAAAAAAACTCGTCCAAACTTCATTTCTTCTAGCACAAGCAAGATGCCTTGCAACACAGGCTTCATAGCTAATTTTGAGCTCTTTGTTCGAAGTCTTAAAGGTAAGCAATCCTTCATCCAATCCCATGTCTCTGTAGTAAAACGTAACTACTTTCATGTGGTATAAAGCTCCTAACTCAATTCTCAACCATCCTCCTCGAAAGGAGCTTCAAAGTAGGCTTCACAGACACGTTTCCAGACTTAGCCATTTCAGACAGTTTCCCTGTTTTGGAAGAGGCTTTTGAACAACTTTGAAAATGACCTTCCTGGCTTTTCCTAGAGCATCCACGCATTCTAGCTTGTAAAGGAACACTCCAGCTTCAAAACAAACCCTTAATCTTGAATGTTCATCGACCCATTTGAGAGAACCAGACTTGCAAAGTAGGCTACCTGAAACAGTCAAAACACTTCTTTGCGACAAAATTGTGGAGGCTTGGTTCGATCAAGCAGCAGAGTGATAACTCTTCTTTGAAAAACTTTGGAAACACTTATCGGGGCGGTAAGATGAGGGTCTCTAACTTCTAGATTCCATGTCATATCCTCATCGCTGTTTTTGCCTGATTCATTTTCCCAGCCTGGATTCCCCAGGTTAGGTCACTCAACGACGCATTTGACTCAATGTTGAACCCGACTTACGATATTCACCTGGAGTCAGTGATGGCCATCACCTTCACCCATGTCTGCAAAAAAAAAAAAAAATTTGGGTGAAGACCATGCATGATGGCCCTTACATCCCTAGCTCGCTTAGTACTTCGGCGTCAACCTGACCCCGTGCACCCTCATTGGACAGCCTCTTGACCTCCCAAAGTCAACACTAAGGATCTTTGAAAGAAAATTTTAATAAGTGCTCCAATAGTAGCATTATTATGAAAGAATTTTTATATATTATGAATTAGTTTCTTATCTCTTAAAGGTGAAAATGTTAAAAGAAAAAGAGAGAGAAGAGTCATTGGGTTATTCCCATAAGTGAATATTGGCACAAACTATTCACAAAAGTGAATAAAGTTGGACATAATAATTTATACAAATATCAATCTCATTGTACGGATGACGACAATGAAATATCCATGAACGTATTTTGACACTAGAAGTGAGAAAGAAAAAAAAAAGATTACAAAAAAAGATGATATAATGATTCCAATATGAAAAGGTGTACGATAAAAGTATATATTTGAACAGGCCCGACCCTATGTTTGTGCTGGCCGGCCCGCCAGCACAGAACCTCAAAAGAATGAGGGCCTCATTAGAACTAATTTCTCTAAATCTATTAATGGGCCCATTGATATAAGCAATGTTGTCAGAACCGAACCGGAGCATGACCCGGTAATGCGAATGGCTCTAACTTTAGTGGTGCACCGATATTAGACCATTTAAAAACCGTTAGCGAACCGATACCTAATAAACGTTATCAGTATAAATAGTGGATATTTCTTAATCAGAGCTCGTCTCTTTCCTTCGAAATTGTGAAATGGAAATAAGGATTCAGTTTGAGAGCCCGACGTTTTTTGGTTTATTTCAATTTTCTGCAATTTTTGTAATTAAATTTAACGACTGAATGACAAAAACCGGACGAGCGGCTCGAGCGGTTAACCGTCTCGGCCGCTCGTCAACCGTTACATAAAATAAGAGCGGCTTTTAAACTGTTTCGAGCCGATTTTGTGACCGGGTGGCGGTTTTATCGGTCGGGCCGAGCGGCTCGGCTTTAATAACACTGGATATAATTAATCGGCTTTGAGTTTTGGAGGTTAGAAAACAAGGAAAGCTGCTTGAACTAAATGATGGGCCTCCTGTAAATGTATAGCTAAATCGGGCTTTCAGATAAGTAATCTGTTTTGGCCCAAGGAAAACAAAATGACTAGCTTTAATTAAAGATTAAACTATATGCCTTAATTTATAGCTTAAACGGGCCTCCAGATAAGTAATCATTTTTTGTTCAAATTATTTGGGAAACAAAGTGACTAGCACTAACTAAATGATGGGCCTATACTTAAAATGAATCGCTATTTGCTGCCCGTATATTTACTATTTGCCGCCCATAGTTTAGTGAAAAAGTCTACTTTGCCCTTCAACATTTTAGAAACCTACCTAAATTGCCCTTCCTGCCGTCGGAATCGCTGACCTCTCGTTGGTTCTGCAAATCCCGACGACAATTCTCCCTATCCTTCCATTTTTATCTCCGCAATTTCCGGCGACGTTTTTTTTTTCTTCTTCCGCGACAATCCCTCACTCCACCATCTTCATCCGCTTTCTAGGCTCCCAATCTCCCCATTTTTGAGTGGCGGTTGCGGCGAGTGAATCCCCATGGGAGCAAGACCTGGCCGGATCGGAAGGAGATGGTTGGTCCGACTGCGATAATCAGACGGGGATAGGTGGTCGTCGCCGGAGTACGATCGGAGATGGGTGGTCCGACGTAGCACGGACGAAGACGCTTGCATCGCCGCCGGATTTCGGACGGGGCCCGCCGCCGGGCTTCGGACGGGGTCCGCTTGCCGGACTTCGGACGGAGATCGCCTGCCGGATTTCGGACGGGGTCCGCCACCGGGCTTCGGACGGGGATCGCCTGCCGGAGTCGGACCTGCCGCCACTCGCCTGCGATTTTCTTTCCCTGAAAAACTATTGGATTCCAAATTAATATTAAGAATTTAAATATTGTATTAAATATTGTATTAACAATAGGAAAACTTCCCTTAATTAACACCAATGCAGTCAAAATCGCGCTTTAAAACTTAAAAACTTACGGTTTTACGCTTCTAGGACACCAAAACGCTTTCGTTTCCATATAAAATCTTAAGTGTATAAAATCGGGACTAACATGCGCTTTAAAGCTTAAAAGCTTACGCTTTTACGCTTCTGGTTCACTAAAACGCTTTACACTTTTACGCTTCTAGTTCACTAAAGGAGTATTCTATTTATGAAAATACTTATATTTTAAAGGTAAATCACAAAAAATATGATATATTTGAGATTAAAAATACATATCAAGTACTTGGGTGCATTCTTAGTTTCAATAGAGTAATCTAATTCACCAACTAGGCCCTTCCCAAACTAGCATAAAGGGGAATGTAGCTTATTGTTAAGATATATGTTTATGAACTTATTGTTAAAATGTTATGAGTTTCTCAACTTTAGACATGAATTACAAGTATTTATTAACTTATCTAAACTATGTCCACTCATATTTTATCGTACTTAACACATTTTTCGTAATATTAAAGTATGCGTCAAAAACTTACGTTTTTACGCTTTGATTCTACGCTTTACGATTTTACCCATTTTCCGCTTCTAGGTAGAATCGCGCTTTTGACTGCATTGATTAACACAATTAAGCCCATAAAATAAATGGTGGAATGTAAAGAGTCAATAAAATAAAAAGGATTACTAAATCAAATTATTTTTTTGGTAAGAATTACTAAATCAAATTAAATGTGGAGTAAGCGTGATTTAATTTACTTTTATTGATTCCTAGTTTCCTACCCCATTACTAACAGTAATTGTATTTGCATAATTAAAAAAGGAAACACTTAATTATAAAATACCAAATTTTCTCTAATTAAACAACGTCTAATAGTATAGGAAAGTAATTAAAACACATTAAAAAAAAGATGGAAAGCAACGTTTTATTCCATTTCGTTAATTAGTAGGATGAGCTAAAGGAAGGTAATTAATTAATAAAGAAAACAAAGTTTAATTTCATATAGATTTAGGTGGAAATTGGAATGATTATAGTAATTTAAGCAGTTTAATCTGCGTTGAAATTTGTCATAAAAAACAAATGTTAATTTTTAAGGGTATGCCTACTATGACATGCATGTCACGGTAACATGCACTTTTCGGTCGACCTATTGCTGAAGGTGGTCAACCGAATCGACTAATTTGGGCACCCCGAGAAATCATTGCGGTCGACCTCGACGACCACCTGGTCGACCGCACTTAGTTTAAGTTGTTATTTTTGGTCGACCAGAATAAAACCTGGGTCGGCCATTTCGTTGGCGTAAGAAACAACATGGTCGACCACCTAAGGTATATAGGTCAACCACTTGATGGCAGTCATTAACAAAATGGTCGACCGGATGAGGAAAGAGGTCGACCAGATAGAAGATAAGTGTTCTATCAAAGTGTCCAATTATTGCATAGTGCTGATTTACGACTACGATTCGCCTCACTAGTTGAAGGTAGACTGTCAAGCAAAAATGCAGTTTTTTGCTGGACATTGACGAGATACAGAAACCAATGACGTGCTTCATCGTCAAGAACTGGCATAAATATCTAGCAACGAAACACTCACTATATGTTATAAACATCGAATACAAACAAATGCACTTTCGAAATTTAATGATAGAGGGACATTGACTAGACTAACCTTCTGGCATGCACTGACATTCGGCATAAAGATCACGCCATCATTCATCAACTTGTTACGAATTTGTCTGGTCTTCATTATGTCTCAGATGAAGAAAATGTTGGAATCAAAGTGATCTTGTCGTTGACGAGAGTTTTTGAATGTGCTGCAGCGCTGTATGTGATAAATACAAATGAGGATCAAAAGTAAAAGTATATTAATGCATGCAACAGAATAAATTATTGGCCAAAATAAAATAAAGCCTTAGGCTTATTTGGTAAAAATATTGGGACAGGAGTCCTTACACCTCAAGATGTAAAACTAATAGGATACAAAAGAGTTGTGTGCAAACGCGCAAGAAAATATGTGAAATTGTGAGAGATATTGCACAATATCTCTTAATAGATTTCTCGTAGAAACCTAACATTAATTATAAGGTGACATACTCTCTTGTGGTGGATGCAACTATGTTGTGAAATTTAAATAGTTTGGCAGTTCAAGAAGTATGAAATTTGCATAAGGTAGATATTGTGATAGCCTATTTGTATGGATCCCTTGATAATGATATATGTACAAAACTTCCCGAAGGATTAGGTTGCCTGGAAGCAAACATGTGACGTTCTCAACAACAATATCGATGGATAAAACCATCCCTTGTATGGATTGAGATAATATGGATGGATATGGTATATTCATCTAAGTGCATATATGCTAAAGGAAGTGGTTGAATAACACTTACGTGCTTAAATTCGAATAAAGTGCATTAGAGCATTTGCATTTGAACTTTGACATGTGTGATTGTGTAATGACACTTAGGTTTATGTGCATGATATTGTGATTTTAGTTTTATGTATGTGTTTTGATTTATGAGTGTGATTTGGTTAAGTGATGTTGTGTGTGTGACGTGACTTTTGCTTGTGACCTTGTGGTAGGGCTGGCAATTTGATCCAGGACTGTTTGGTTTTACCCGAAACCGGACCGTATAACCCGGACCGAACCGGACTGGGATCGGATAGCAAACAATCCAATCTCATATTCAGGCTTAGATTTGAGGTAAAAAAACCCGGATAAAGACCGGATAAGAGACCCCCAACACTCAAATATCCACAAGTTCAAGACCGGAGTGTATCCAATCCAATCTTTGGTCCTTATATTCTCGAAAATACCGGACTGAGACCGGATCAATTTGGTCCAATTTAACCGGACCAGACCGTATAGCCACCCCTACCTTGTGGTATGAAGTAATTGCTTGCATACAATTCTGTTAGTTAATTTTTATAGTTATTTAGAAGAGAAGAGTCAAGATGTTATTTCATAATGATCTAATATAATTTCTATAGAAATATTGTTGAAACTTAAAAAGAGCTTCATAAAGCAATAGATTGCTTAGAGAAAGAAATCAAACATGAATGATTTAAGAAGATCCTTTTTTTGTGGATCAAGGAGATCAAATCGAAAAAGTGAAAGAGCTATTTTGTATGAAAAATGACATACATTCGCAGCCTAATCATCATAAGGTCACTAGAAGTGAAAAAGGGTTCATTTAGGCATTTGGATAGAAATGAATGATTAGGTCCTGAAGTACCGGATATTGGTGTCATTAGAGCACTAATGTGTATTGCTAGCCATATGTCATCTAGCATTTCACTCAGTAGTATTATATTAGCAAGATATATTTGTCTCTTTGTATATGACAATCAAACAAAGTTGAGCTTTTACTTCATTACCTTCAGGTAACTATGTGGATCAAAGATGATTTATTTTTTATTTTTTTGAATTGAGGGAGGCAATAATGCCAAAAGTCAACAAAACACCACCATTCCTAAGCTACTGCACATATACAGCAACTCAGAATAGGGAAACCGAAGAAAAAGCTCAGAGTACAAAAGTAAAAACCCCTGCCCAAATCAAACTTGATTCTGCAGTACCATTCTGTGGAAACAGACCCCCACCATATCCTCAAGCAAGATCTTGTCTAGTTCTCTTGGTGGATTCATTAGTTCATGTGTACTGAAGGGAAAGACGAGACTGTGCTTCGAGAGCCAGTATGCGGCTCTATTCCCTTCGCGATACGTATGAACTAATTGCACCAACCAATTCTGAGACATCATCCAACGAATAGCTGTTAGTATAGTCGCGTGAGGATGAGCAGGATCTTATCGGTTCTTGATGAGTTCAATGGCCATTTTTAGTCTGTTTCAAGAATGAGAAATTGGACTCCTACTTTCCAGGCTAGATGAAGGCTTTGGTGGATTCCCCATAGTTCTACCAAAATTGCAGACCCTGTACCAATTTTGCAGCAAAATCAGCACATCCAAACACCATCTCTATCACGAAGAACCTCTCCCGCAGTAGCTAAACCTGATCCTCCCTGCGCCGCTCCATCTGTGTTCATCTTTTTCCAATTACCAGGCAAAGCCTTCCAACCGATTTGGCAGTCTTCTCGTTGCGGCTTCTCCATGTTGCTCAGGTGAAGGCTAGCTCTATCCCAAGTTCGTAACCAGTCCACCGCCTTGGCTGTCACGTAGTTAATAAGGGATGAGTCTGCCATCCTTTTCCCTTTGAAAGTAACTTCAACTCTATGTTTCCAGATGAACCAAATCATCAAGGACAGCCTACAAGGCCAATCATCTTGTTCTTCCTCCTCTGTCCTCCAAATCATAAATGCTACACCATCAGATCATGCACAATGGTTAGCATTCATGAGACATTGTATGAGTTGTTTGGTTGAGATTTATGACTCAACACGTCTAAATGACTTGTGGTTGTGGACTATCTTCATAGAAAATGATCATGAAGACCATGTATGATGAAAATGGTCCTAATAGATTATGCATAAAGTGATAATCTAGAAGAATTGTTCACTAAGAAACTTACCATGACTATATTTGAAAGTTTTGTTCACAAAACTACACTTTGATGTTGTCATGAGTGGGGCATATAGGCACTGTACTCTTTTTTCCTTAACCATAGTTTTTTCCACTGGATTTTCCTAGTAAGGTTATTAACGAGGAAGTTTCAGATAGAGTATTATGATTATGCACTCTTTTTCCTTCACTAGGATTTTACCTCATAGGATTTTTCCTAGTAAGGTTTTAATGAGGCATATTCTTAATAAATGGACATCCAAGGGGGAGTGTTATAAAACTATGTAGTATTGTGGATGTTCATTGGATTCCATATTGGATGCTACTTTGGATTACATATGGGATGGGACATTAGGAGGTATTTACCTCCCTACATTGATCATAGAAATGAATCCTCTTCATGGTTATTATATCACATTCATGTGTATTGATAGAGAAGATTGTAAAGGTTATGTATATGTGTCTATCAATAGTGAACCCCATTACACAAATGAATAAAATGAATAAGAAGAAGAACACTTCTCCCTTCTTCTCTTGTGACTTTCCTCTACTTTTGTTCTTGTTTTGTTCTCTATTTTTATAACATGAAGAACTTAATTGGCCTACTTTAAAAGTACTAGCCATAAAATAAGGCCTCTGGCAAAACAAAATTTGAACCACGGCCATTTAGTAAGAAATTCAACTTTCCACTAGGCTAACAACAAATCCGTACGTTGTTGCAAACAAAGCGTATTTATAAAATAACATTCAATTTATACGTAACTTTCCAACTCCTTCGTATAGGATTTTTTATGTGATTATAGAATTCAACCCCTGACCCACCTAGCTCGTCTTCAACCACCATGTTATGCCCCCATCATCTGAGCCATGTACACGAGAAGGATGATTGAGTGTGGAAGAGTGGCAATGTGAGGGTCAAAAGCATGACAGGAGGTGGAAGGAACATGATCATGAGACAAAGGAGTAGGTGACTCTGGAGAATCATGAAAATTCCTAAAAGGCAAAATAGACTCACAGAAAACAACACTAGAGATAAAAACTTGCTTTTTTAAACGATCAAGAAATTTATCTCTTAAGGGATACCATGTAATATGCATTGTCATGCTATGGGAGCAAACTTGACCATGCCTCGAGCTAGAGTACTAACATAAACCAAGCTATCAAATACCCTGAGGTGACCTAAAAAGGGAGGCTTCTTATAGAGAACCCCATAAGGTGATTTGTTTTGCATAGTAGTTGTAGGCGACCTATTGATTAGGTAAACGACATGCAGTATACACGCACTCTAGTATTGTAAGGGTATGCAAGGCTGAAATATAAGTGATCTTGCAACATTAAGTATGTGTTTATGCTTTCTTTTAGCCCTTGCATTTTGTTCAAGAGTGTAAACACATGGCATTTGATGTTCAATGGCTTCAGATAAGTTAAACTCACACATGTTAAACTCCTTACCCTGATCACTTCAGACTGCTTTGATAGTAGAGCCAAACTGGTTTTCAATCAATTAACAGAAACCTTTAAATAATTCTCTAGTTTCACTATTATACCTCATCAAATAATCCGAGAAAAGTATCGAATAATCATCCATAATAGTTAAGAAATACGCATATAATCCATCATAAGAGTCAACAAACAAGGGACCTCGTATATCAACATGAAATAAATGAAAGGGTTCATTAGCATGACTGGTGCTTACAAGAAAAGGTTTTCTTTTGTGTTTGGATAAGTGACAAACATTACAATGTTGTACTTTATTTAATATTACAGTGGAATCTAGAGATTGCAACATGGAAAGTCGATTAGAACTAGGGTGGCCTAATCTCCAGTGCTATAGATCAACTTGATGGGGTTGTAAATTGTACACTTGATGTTTGAGGTGAGTGAAGAACATGATGACTTGGAGGTTGATGGAAAGTCCCTTAGATTCTCATGCTAAACCAATCGTCGTCTTGTTTATAAGGTCCTAAATTTGAAAAAGATCAGAGTGAAAATGTTATGCTAAAGGGAGGTCATGTGTGAGATGGCTAACTAATATTATATTAAATGAAAAACACGGAAAAAGAACCTTGTATAGCCATAATCTTGTGGGCAACTTGATAGTCCCTAATGAATTTGGAAAATGTGAGGTATCAAAAACTTCTTTGTAATAAAAATATATTGTAAGAGAAGAGGCTATGTCATGATCTGATGCCCCTGTATCTTGAATCCAAAAGTTTAATAGGTGGTTACTGTCTGAGTTGGAAAGGGATGAGAGGACATATTTACTTGCAATGTTTGAGAAGGGAGGTAAACATAGCAAAACAAAATATGTTTGATGACACATGAAAGGTGAAGTGGGAGGTGATGTGAGTGGATTGTTTTCATAGGTGAGGACATGTTACCACCAGTCTGCAACATATAATTTAATTTGTTCATCTCTTCATATGTAAATCCAAGTGTTGAATTACTTACAAAGAAAGCGTCATTGTGGTCATTTACCTCACTCTGTGTTTCACTCCCACTTGAGCTTCTCTAAGATACATATCCAGTAAACTTTTTGTTACCTCTTTTGTCCACCACTTTCCTACTCATTCTCCTTTTTCTTCTTCTTTAGTCTCCAGCATTCTTCTTTTAAGTGATTTTGCAGAACCTGCAAGATTTCTTCTCATGTGTTTATTCACCAGCATCAAGTTAGAAACCCAACCCTTGAGGGTTTCTTTTATTATTTTTATGATCATTAATTTTATTAGGGTTAATAGTATTAGGTTAATCGCTAGAATTTTTCGGTATTTTCCTATAATTATGTACGTTGTTATTCCATTACGATTAAGCAAAGAATATATTGAAATCCCTAATCTCCCTATCACTTCTTCCCCTCTCAATCGGCCTCGAATTCCTAATTCTCAATTATGTTCTTCTATCTAAATCCCTAATTCTTTCTCTCAATCGCTAAATCCCTTTCTATCTATCCGGTTACTTCGGTTCTAAGAATTCCAAATAAGCGAGTTTCTAACACATCATTTCCTCCGGGTACTCCAACCCCTATTGCCAAAACCAATTATTGACCTTTCTTTCTAGTTACATGAGCTTTGAGCTCTTAGCCATACTAGATGAGGTCATCTATATCAGCTAGAACTGTAGGAAGAGGGCTTGAACATCAGTATTTTCTTCTTAATAACTTTATATTCTGATTTTAGACCTCAAAGAAAATGAATCAAGATAGTCAGTTTCCTCCTGTCATCACCTCCTCGACCATCTCTTCATCTTTCCTCCTGTCGTCGCATACTCATCGATCCAATAGTCACCTCTTCCTTCCGCCATCATCAACTTGTCGTCATCTTTTCATCTCGAGCCTCTCCTGCTGCTGCCACTGCACGGCTATCTGAAAGTCGATGCTACTGCTCACACTTTCATTTATATATATCAACAATATAACAGTTAAAGCAAACTGGATTACAGAATCTTGCGGCCACTTGGCCCTCACTCATTTGCTACTTTAAACACTAAACATTGTTCTTAGCGGGTAATAAATAAATAAAAAAGACACAGTATTACTAACAATATGGTTCGAAACATTTCAAGGATAAACGCTCTCTATTGTTGAGCTCTTAATCCGAAACTTCTTCTTCTTCCAAATCCTTTTGCGATTTGGATTAATGGAGTTTTCATACTTTAATCTATGTATTCGTAAATGGATCGGACACGAACCGAAAAAATTAGTGGTTTAAGGTTTAGTGTCGTTAGTTAACACTTGATTGAACCGTTTATGCACTATAAAATAAGACATATATAATATATTAATTTAGAAGTGGGTTTGTCACTGACCATAAATAATTTCAAATTCATATCATCCATTATCAAACATTCTAACAAATCATTCAAACTATCTCACAATAGAAATCATATAAAATTTTACTAAATTTAAACTTAGTAAGTGGGGTGGTAATCACTAGAGGACCACGAAAAGACGGGAAAAAGGCGGTAGGGAAACTAAGAATATGAATTAGAAATAAAATTGTTAATTAAAGTTTGATGGTATTAGTTTACGTTGTAGTTTATTATTTTACCTTAATTTCTTTTTTGTTAAAATAGCGAACCGGTCAAACTGGGATTTATTAGTCTCATTTCATGTTCAAACCCTTAAAATAAGTTCGGCCTATCCACGCAACCGTCCAAATAAACGAACCGAACCGCTATTGTAACTTATTTACAAAATTTACCGGTCCAATCGCTGGTTCGGTTTGATTCCCATGACAACGAGTTTAACAACTCAACAATTGGCATGCATCCAAAGAGGGAAGAAAAGGCAGAGAACCCCATCACAGAACACCAAAGAAAAAAGAACCTTGAACTCGAACAGAACTTATGAATGCGATGGAGATGGAATTGTGCATTTTGCTTGCATAATTCTCTCTTTCTTTCATGGACCTTACACCTAAGTCTCTCTCATAATCAATAGGCTCCTTTAGGATGGGTCATCCCTCCATTTGTCCTCTTCTTTCTCCCTCCCCAAAAAAACAACCAAACTCTCTTCCTTCCCCTTTATACACCCCACAACTTCATTCCTCCCAACAACACCTCTTTTCCCACCCATCAATCCTTAAAAACTTCCCCAATTTCCCCATCTCCTTCATTCCTAGCTCATTCCCATACTACCCAAAAATTCCTTCTTGGAGAATTTCATATACACATCTTTGCGGCCGTGTGCGCAGTGTCACAAATAGTGTTACATATAACAACACACCATAGAATAGCAACGAAAAAAAAAATGGGGACAGAAAGGGAGACCCACGATTTCATGAACGTCGAGTCCTTCTCCCAACTCCCTTTCATCCGCCCTTCCCCCAGATCCGACAAGCCCATTCGCCTCTTCGGCATCGAATTCGGCACCGGCGACGGCGACACGCCAGCCAGCGACGACCTCCTACTAGACATTAGCAACGGGAACAACAATCCCGTCGCTAAAGAGAACAGCAACGACAAGAGCAATAGTAACAACAACAACACCAATAGCAACGGCAACAGCAACAGCAACAACAGGAGGTTCGAGTGTCACTACTGCTGCCGCAACTTCCCGACCTCCCAGGCGCTGGGCGGCCACCAGAACGCCCACAAGCGGGAGCGCCAGCACGCCAAGCGGGCCCACCTCCACGGCGGCGCCGGGACCAGCTCCTACCTCGCCGACGTCGCCCACCACCCTTTCTACGCGCCGCTCAGCTACCGAACCACCACCGCTCACCACCACGCGCCCTTCTCCTCCTACTCTTCGTGGAGCGGCGGCAACGGGACCACGTCGTCTTCTTCCTCCTCTAGGTTTTACGGCAGCGGCGTGGTATCTTCTTACTCCTCCTCCTCCTCCTCGTCGCATCCGCAGCAGCAGCAGCCTATTACGGGCAGTCCGCTGGGGCTGTGGCGTGTTCCGCCCACGACGTCGTCGACGGTTCACGGCGGCGGCGCTGCTGCTGCTTTTCTTCGGGACAGGTCGGCGGCGGCGGCCACGCAGCACGCGCCGTTGGCGTTACGTGGAGGAGAGGATCAGGTGGGCGGGTCGGGCGGGCGGGTCGGGTTCGGGCCCGGGTCGAAACCGAATTTGCAGCAGCAGGATCTTCACGTGAGTTTAGATCTCCATCTGTAACATTTTTCATATAAATTACAATAGCTCTAGCTCTAATAAAAATAATTAATCAATTAATTAATTTAGTTATCGCAATTTGCACTGCAAGTTCGAGATTAGAGAGCTTCACTCTTCTTCCCCATTTGTCTGTAATTACGCCTAATAATTTTAATTGATTGAGCAGCTTTCAGTTGCACTTGCACGCCATGTTATTAATTTCCTTCTTTCTCAGCAAATTCATTTTTTTCAAAAGTTGAACATTTAGAAAATTAATGCTGAGTTCGAAGAGACATAATTACTCGTATTAATAAATCACGTCAATTGAAATTGAACGCTGTCTTTTTTTAGTTTGAAGAATGTTAAATGTTTGGTTATACAAGACCCATCCAAGGATTAATGACCTGATTGTATCAGGGATGAGATGCTGAAAGCTTAATTCCCCCATGAACTTAATTAGAATGAAGGAGACGAGAGATATTGAGGGATTCGATCAAATGTGACCGCATTCATACTTTTATTTCCAGGAGAGGCAAAGACAGACTGAGTGAATGGTTTATCGTAACAAAACTATGTTTCATTTTCGGAGGAATTTTTTATTTATTTACACGGAATGAACATGACAATTATGATATCGGTTCGATAATGGACTCTAGTTGTAAGTTATTTTGGTTTTTAACATTTTACTTTCAAGATTAGATAGAACAAGGGTTAGCCCTAATGGCTGTGAGTGTAAACCTACTGTTCTTCTCGTCGCGATACATGGTTCGAAGTTTACCTCTGACGTTCGCCTTACTGGTCATCGATAAATGTGCATCTTCGTCTCCTCTAGTAGCACCCCCTCCCTCAACTAAAAAAAAACCGACTGTATCGAATAAACGGTCCGAAAGTACGGTAGCTTCACTTAAATGAGAAGTATAGGTAAGGGAATTACTCGTCATAAAAGAAATTTCAAAATCATAAGCTACGTACTTGTAAATTTGTGTCTCGGATTGAAACATAATCGAGCATCAAAAATTTTGTATATACACACGTGTGCTGGAAAAAAAAACATACAGAAAATAACAATGTGGTACAGAAACAGAGATGCTGAAACTGGAGTGTGCATGAATCGAACACTGTAGAAGAAATGAACTCTAACGTTCACATACACGTAGAAATGTTTTTATTATTATTATTATTTTTTTTTAGACGAAGCACGTACACGAAGAATTAATGAATTATGTACGTGAATGTGGAGACAAGACAAACAACGTACAGATTAATCTATTTTATATATATTGTTGGGGTTATGGGCAAGAGTCAGAGGGATAAGGATTTAATAGAACATATTATTTTATTAGTAGTTGCCAGAAGAAATAATGACGAGGATTTGTGAGCCCGACATTCCTATTAATTGTTTATACCTCTTTCTGTACTGTACTGTACGCATGCATGTGTATAAAATACAGTACAGATATTCGTATGAATGACGGCAAAGAAAAGCCCCATGCATACGTATAAATGTACGTATAATAAATTCCCATACTTCCACCTCGTGCCCCAACTCCAACTACCTCATGCAACAAAGTGGTTCAAATCTGAATTTATGTATTTTATCGCATGTTATCTCTCTTATAAAATTCAGTATTCTTATTTTGTATATACTTAGAAGGTAGGGAAAAAAAAAACATTTACACTCAGCTAGTGATGGCAATGGGGCGGGGCGGGGCGGGGCGGGTACCTCAATTCCCATGCCCCGCCCCATGCTACTACGGGTAGGGGCGGGTAAAATCCGCGCGGGTAAGGGCGGGGTGGGTCCACCCACTCTTACATGTTGTTAAAAAAAATACAAGTAAATTTTACTTTTTACAATAAAACATAGGGAAAAACACTTTAAGAATGAAAAATATTGATAATAGAATAGATAATTGAGCCTAACAAGTTGAAAGATCGACTCTAACTAGTTGAAGAAAAGTCAAAATAGGAGAAATATGTATAGATATTGTAAGAAATTGAGATAAAATGAGTCTACAACGGGGCGGGGCGGGGCGGGGCAGGACGGGTCGGAAGTAGATACCCATGCCCCGTCCCACACTACTGCGGATCGGATAATACCCGCCCATCGTGGATCAGGTCGGGTAATACCCGCGAGGATTGAAATTGCCATCACTACCCTCAGCGTCGGGATTTCACTCAAGATAGATTCGAGATTCTGCGGGTTGTGTACCTAGATGAATGCGTGAGAGTTTGTCGGATGATTTTCGCTCGAGAGGAAGGAGAAGTGGGGAATAAGTTAATTGTTTAGAATTTGGAATTAATAATTAGAGTTAGGTTTATGTTATTGTTTGTTTATGTATGTAAAATTTAGTTTTGTATATATGGAATATAACAGGTAAATATGAACTTCAAAATTTATTATAGCCCACAAGCAAACATGTGAAACTTATCTCTATCTAATGATATTGCATTGAGACAATTTACAACTACTCTCAATTTTCTTTAGGGTTGGTCGGGACTAGAGAATGGCAATGGGACAGATCAGGAGCGGGTATCTTGATACTCATACCGACCCCTTGGAAGGTTGGATAATTATTATGGGGCTCGAGGGTCGGGGTAGGTCGATCCAATGGGTATGTAATTTATATGGAAACTATTAGAAATATTCGTTATTTTCATTATAAGACCAAGAAACAAACCATAATATGATAAATGTAGTTAAATTATTAGAGAAATTGAGATTTTCACCTATTTGGAACTTTATTATAGCTAACACATGATGTAATATAAGAAAAATCCTAAGTAATTAGACTAAGATTACATGTAACTTAGGCAAGAATGGGGGCGTGTTAGGGTAGGCCGGGTGATGAGAGTATCCATGCCCGCCCCAAAACAGGCCAAACAGGTCGGGTAAAACGGTTCAGATCAAAATTGTCATTCCTAGCTGGGACCGACCCACCCAATTTAACTCTACCTCCGCCCCTACTCTCTTATGCACAACCCAATCGAACCTAACATTCTGTTTACGTTGAAGAAAGATATCAAATGTGCATGTTAGACAATGAAGAAGCAATAACGTAAATTCAGTGATCATGTCGATAAGGTTATGTACGACGCTTGTCAAACGTTTAAACCATGCATGCCACATCTATGCTCAACATGTTGTCAAGGAACAGGAGCCGCAACCGATGAGTTGATGTAAAAGGCGAGAGGTCCCGTCGAAGCAGCAGCCTAGCTAGCTATATTATAGTTTACTCAATCATTAACCCCAACAAATGAAATCCAAATTATAAACAAACAAACAAACCAACCATTTTAGAAAGCAAACACGTTCAATATATACAAAAGGGATGTGTAGGTTCATGGTCCATGAAACTGTATCGTACCAGCAGTTCAATTCAACCACGAAATACCAGTATTGGAGGCTAAACCGCTAGGCAGTATTTAACAATACTAATGGTTGAACTACGGCTAAACCACGATTTTAATACAAAATACCATACTGCTGACTTTCCCGATACGATCTCCGGTACGATTTCATGCACTAGTGTAGCAAACAAAGGTAGCACTCGAAAGTAGAAACAGAGGTCGTGAATTTAATGTATGTGTTTTTGTCCAATTTTTTCTAACTTACGAGTAGTACTGTGCAAATATATTCCACATGGCCGTGCCTTTGTGACTCCACCAACTGTGTGGTCCGTCTGTAGATGGAAATACGTACGTACTCTGTGCAAAAATACTATTGTGTGCGGGGCTATTTGGCGTACACCAGCTTTGTTTAAAGGATGCACATATCTGAACTCTGAAGGACTCATCAATCACATTTTTTTTTTTTTATGTATGTTCCTATAGCAAAGCTTTTTTTATATTGCTTCATTCATGCACCAAGATTGTTTGTTGTAATTATGGTACGTGGATGAGATGTATTAAGAGGGTTTTTAATCACATATGTGGATGGTAAAAGAAACCCAGTATTGTTCAAACTCATTTCATTCTGGGTGTTTCTTAGTTTTGATATAAATTAGACCTATTATATTGGATACTCAATTCCAATACAATTTTTGCATTCTTCTTTAATTTTGAACAAACAAAAATATGAAAACATCAAAACCGTGAATTAGATTGAAGGTAGTTAGTGGGATGGTCATTATTATTTTTGTAGACGAGCATTTGAACTCAAATAAACACATTCCGGTCCCACCCAAATTAGAAATATTAAAAAGCCAACCCAACGCCACTAAAACCATTAAAATTGCATTTGGGTCTATATAGATCCGACCCAATATTCAGATAGATAATTGAGTCAAATTACTCAATGAGTCGATTCATCTGTCATTCCTTCGAGCTGCTATCAAAAACTTGTTTGGTAAACCTACAAAGTTGAATACTCCTGCTAGTTCAACTCAGTCAATAAAAATGAAGATCCAAGCTTACAAAGTAGAATAGTTTATTTTCTTTGGTTTCATTTGGTGGGAGAAGCATATACAATGATGGGGGGTTTACATAAATAGTAAAGCCAACCAACCAAGGGGGAGAAAAATATGTGTCCTACCAGTGAGGCCATGGCACTTTAAGTAAACATATATGAACCAACAAGGAGTGGTTCACACAGTCCCACTGACTCTTCCTATTGATTTCACTTTGCCAAAGTACTCTGGTCTCTTCTCTTTTATGGCTTCAAGTTTTCCTGCGTGTTGGGTTCAAAATGTAAGGTCTCTCACTACTCTGGCTTGCGATGGAGAGAGATCATAGATGACCAGCTGATAGCCGCAGCAAAGGTGGGGTTAGTTCTCAGTGTAAATTAGCTGTAGAAGATAGAGATGGGTGAATAAGAAAGAAAGAAAGATAGCATAAAAAAAAGCAGCGAGAAAGAAGTAGAAGGACCATATATAAGAGTTTGAGCAATTAAGAAGAATCGGATTGGAAGGCTACATTTTTTTAACTTTTCTCTTGTAACTACATTTAGTAACAAGACCAATGTCAATTCAATGAAGTTACAAACAAACATAAAACCAAAGGCCAACAAAGTTGTAGCCTTTGCTGGTTAAGGTGTTCGATTTGTTCGAAATAACGTTACAAGTTCAAATTCATTCTCGCACCAACTGTTCTTTTTTCTTTTTCTTTTTTTCATGCACGAACAAATATCGATAAAGATGTAGATTCCAAAAATGCAGAAAAGAGAATGACGAGGGATCATTCGTCGAAACTAGGATAAACCTAATCACCAGCTCAACCATGAAGGCAAGTGATTCAAGGTGTTATAATCTCACAAATACTCTAAATATAAGGTATTCTCCACGATGATGCGGCGGAGGATTTGAACAAGAGGTCTCGCGATCAAAATCCGATAGCTTTACCATCAGGTCACGCCCATGGAAGGGAAGAGAAAATGTTAATCTATGTTCATAACATGAAATAGTCTGTTACAGGAACCATTTTTAGTTCCTGTCATTATTTTTTTTCTCTAAAACAATTTAGTAATAGACTTCACATTGTAGCATCCAAAATAGAGCACAAAACGAAAAAACGAAAGCTTTAGCTTCACGGCTTCGCCATCGTACCTGACTCAGAAGCAGAGGCTGCAAAGAGTGAGGTTGGTGTTCTTTTCCAAGTTGAAGTGTTGCTTCTCTGAGCTTCTCAAAGTATGCCCCAATTCCTAAACAATTTCCTCAAAATGTGTAGCAAGGATGGGAAAAGGCCAGACACAGATGGGTAAGTCTAACTAATTTAACTTGTTAATCACACTAACACGATATAATTAGCTAAACCACAATACTGACAGCAAGGCTAAGCCAGCTAAGTCTAAGTACCATCTTAACTCAAACCAAACCGAAGTAATACAACACAAGAGATTAGTCATTAATGAAGCAAAAGATAAGGGAAGGGGTTGCAAAATGTGGACAGCCAGCCAGCTAAACTTCATTAAATACAGACAAGAAATCTATCAGCAAACAGTGTGTTGGAAGGGCATTATAAACCACCACATTTCCATTTACAGTAAACCCTACAAGGATCCCATCTAGAGAAATTCCTTGTCTTCATAAATAATGTGGTGATTTGATCAAACTAGCCATGTAAAATGCAGTCACAGTCATGCCCTCATAGCAAGCAATCATCCATTAATATGTATTATTGATGATGAAGTTAACGGAGTCTATCAACAATCATGATCAAGGTGGATGGGAGGGGGGAAGTTTGTTGTCAAACTAGATTGAGAAAACTCTTGTTCCAGTGATTGTGCCTAGATATGCCATAAATGGGAAGAGAGAGAAGGGGGAAAGGGGAGGTGGTCAGTCTGTTTCCACGTATAACTGTATAAGGCTCTGGTATCTATCCTCCTAATCTACTGCATTCAATCTACAACTGTTGCACAAAGTACCAAAAAATTTACGACCCCCTAATGCACTGTCACTATTCTGAAAATTTTACCCTAAGTGCATGATAGAACTGAGTGCCAAAAAGTTTGAAAACAGAGAGAAGTTAAA